AAATATATATATATATATATATATATATATATATATATTTTTTTTTTTGTCTGTCAATATGCTCCATCCAGAATTCCTTAAGTGTAAAAGTTTTAGTTTCATCTGGTTTAATGTCGTAAAAAATCTTTTGCTATCTGATTATTAATTGATTAATCGCAAATATAATTGACAGATTAATTGAATCGCAAAATAATCGTTAGCTGCAGCCCTCATTACTACATTTGTAAATTTTTCAGAGATTCAGCAAAAGACAGATTTGTAACTTTGGTCTGTTTTTGACTGAATGATTTCTTTGTTTTACAGAAAATGCCTAGATAGGGATTTTATTTTTTGATTTAGGAGAAAAAATAGGAAAGCTATTATTTTGATTTGTCTTCTTAAAGAGGGATAGCAGAGGAACGAGCTGTATGTCAGAGCTCATCTCCATCACTTCTTTATAGCAACGATCTACTCAGGTTTTTTGTAAAAATAAAGGAAACAGTACTTTGATTATCAGGGGGGACTAAGGACATAAGGCTTCAGGTGGCATTAGATGAACACCAAGAAAAAGAACAAACTGATACTGAAGAGGGTCTCTTTGCACTGAACTGCTTCTTACGACAATGTTTTCCCCATGTGCCTTTAAAGAGCAGCTAATAATTCCATAAAACACACAACAGATACCGTCCTCTTCTTTATTTATACCTGAAATAGCAAGTAGCATTTTCCTGCGGGCACCAAATGTAGTGATTCCTAGTTCCTTCAGGTCCTGGTCTGTGAGAGTCAGGAATGTCTGGAGATCGATCTGAAGAAGAAAAAAAAGAAATACGGATTTATTAGAACAATAATATATATTTATTTATTTAATAGACTTTAAAGACAATAGTTAAAATTTGAAATATTGCAACTTAAGTAAAACCTTAAATTATAGAAATATTTTAAAGAATTATTTGACCAACATTTGTTTTTTTAAATTTTGGCATGTTATTGTGGAATACTGAAATAATATCCAGCATTCTTTCACGCATCTCCAAATTTGACAGGCACTAGTAGAAACAAAATGCAAAATGTGGTTAACCTCTTTCCTAATATTTCTTCTGGATTGTCCTATTGTCATCAACTTCACCCTTCATCCTTGAGAATCTTGGGATTTGGACCCAAATTAAATATGCAATAAAGTGTAATGATGGGATTAATTTTCTGAGAAATATTTATATGTATAATTCTTTACTTTAACATTAAAAAAGTTCTTTCTTCAGTGTTTTTCTTGCTTAATTAATGGATCAAGTTAAAATTCAGCTTTAACATTTCTCAACATGTCATTAGTATTTGTTTCAGTAGGAGATGAGTTTCACATTAAACTGTTCAAACAAAGATGTTAAGAGCTGATTTTAACAGATTAAAATACTAAACAGTGAAAATAAAATTAGTAAGTGATTTACACAAATAAAGACCTTATAATAAAATAAATAGGACGACTGTCACAGCCTTCCATGTTCCAAAACCAAAACAACAAAGACATTACATCCACTTAATCATCCATTGCTTACCACTTAAATTATACATATGGATAAGTCACACGAGGTGCACAGGAGGTCATTACTGAAGTTTTTTAAAAAGGTTCATCCTCCTAAAACCACAGTGTGGCCAAAGCTTTGAAAGAAAAGGATTGATGGAACATTAATAGAACAGAGGAGGTGCACCAACTCTCTACCTCCTGCTGCTGGAAGATGTCGGTGTACTTCCCCAAACCCAGTTTGCTGAAGAGCTCAGGAAGGTCTGAGCCTTTCAGGGAAGAATTCAGGTTGCAGCCGTTGCTGCCAGTTACTGAGGAGATCGAGTCCATGTAGTTGCTGCTGCTGAGGTAATGCTCTGCAACTGCACAACCAAGAATGAGAGCAACCAATCAGAAAACAATTAGTTTAAACAAAATTATTATTATTATTTTTCTTATTTATTATTAATCATTTTAATTACTATTCAATTTAAATTCTTAACAAACCTTACTAAAATAGAACATTTCTAACTTAAAGTTACAAATCAGAAGCAGAAAAAGTTAACAGTATGAAGTAAAGAGGGTTTTAAACTCAGACCAGATTTGTTTTGCTTTCTCTTCGGACTGCTGACAGCAGAGGGGAACTCTGTGTGGTTCGGCAGCCCGTTCCCGTTTCTTTCCCTCCAGTTATCTGAGTCACTGCCACTCCCCACGCCTTCTCTGCTGCCAGATCGAGACAAAGACAGCGGAGAACCCTAAAACACAACAACATGAAAGGAGAACCAAAACATTAAGGGTTTCACTCAAAATATAAATAAAAAGGGTTAGAATACAGAGTAAAACAAAACAGAAAAAGGTCAAATTTAAATGAAACTGCATAGCCTTAAAAAGTCTAAAAAGATTTTTGATTTGATAATTTTCTAAGTCTGAGTCTTTTTTTTTTTACTTATTCTTTTTGTAAAACATATCTTTTCTTCATTACATCACCTTTTAACTTTGTTCAACTTATGAATTTTTTTGGTTTAAAAATGGTTAAATACAAACTAATAAAAAAAGAAAAGCAAACAAAAAATGTAATTTACAGCTTTTTGGGTGTGTAGAACATTTTGTATTTGGGACAGATTTAAAATGATCTATTCCAAGTTTTTGTTTCACCTGCTTCCTTAAAACCAGCTTCAGCACAAAGTTTGGTTTGTAATTTATAATGAAAATAAATTTATAAAAAATTCCTGTTTTACACACAAAGATATATAAAAAGTGATGTAAAAAATCTAGAAAATGTTGCTTTGAAATGTATGGAATATAAAATGTACCTCTGTAGGAATCTTGTCCATTACAACTGACAAGATGTAGAATTTTATTTCATTTAATATTAATTTATTTATGAAAATGTTGATCTTTTATTGTAGAGACTTAATCTTACAATAAAAACTTAGGGAGAAAAAAACATAATATCTTATATATAAATATAATAATTCAGTTAGCAAAAAGCATTCCTTGTTCATAAATAAAAAAAAACCAAAACTATTCTTTACTTATTAGATACTTTAAAAACTCCTGTACACATAAAACATAAGGCAGTCTTTTTTTAATTGACTGATTAACGAGCAAGATGTTTATCTTATTAAGTAATTCACTGTGAGACAATAGCAACAAGCCTAAAATTTAATTCGGTAGTTTGTCTTTAACGTGAAAAATTTCTATTCTAACTTAATCTGCAGCAAACATTATTATGATATTTCTCCAAAGCTTAAAATGTTGTAAATATGGGATGATGCTACTAATAAAACCTGAGTTTAATCTAAAGTTTCCATACATCTTTATCACGCTGCCAATACTTGTGTCTGGGATGTTAATGTTGGCTGTGTACCTCATAAGTGGTGCTCATGGTGGGTTTATATGAGACGTGATTGGCCCTCCGCAGCTCCTTGATGGTCTCAGCTGGCATGGATTTGGAAAAGCCCAGACCGCTCCAAGTGTTTGTTGGGGTTCGTACCTCTGTCACCACAGGCTTCTTTAACATTGCTATGAAGAACCACATCAAGCATAATACAGTTGAAGATTAAAAAAATGTGATTTGATATGCAAAAAACAATATTATGGTACATAATGCAGGATAAACTGACCTTTGGTTGCCAACAGCTTTTTTTGTTCATAGTCAAATGCCTAAAGGAAGCAGATCACAGTTTGATCTGCTTATGTCTCAGCACAGCTAAACACCATTTCTCCCGTTTTTTTTTATATATACCTGCATGTTGGCAAAAGAGGTCTGTGGTGCCAGTCTGATCCTCTCCCTCTCATTCTGCTGTGCTGCCCGTTCAGCTGCCCGCTCGCTCCCCGGCGCCCTCTTATCTGCCACAGGCCCGTCCGACGAGCTGGACTCAGCGTCCGACAGGAGACAGTCAGAACTGGTGGAATTACAGAGAAAACAATACAACAGTTTTCATTTGTTACTGTATGTGCATCTCATCTTTTCCTGAAGTTAGAAGATGTTGCTATGTGGATGCAGTTGGCTCTCCCAGTGACAATCCTGTCCAGGTTTAGTGTGCAACATGGCCCATGTGGCAGCCAACACCTTAAGTGGCTAAATCCTTGTTACTCTGCGGGAATAACTAACCATCTGTCATTTATGTAGCAACATCTTGACTTAATTAAAACAAAATCTGTAGATTTGTGTTTAATTTCAGCCAGATACCATTTTATCCCAATGAAAAACCTGTGAGGCAATGCCAAAGGAAGAGAGGCTTTGAATGATTTTAATAGACATACTGTAGATGGGAGTTCTTGGTGCCCTGCAGGAGCTCGACAGCCTGTCGCTTCCCAGATGACGTCTTGCACGAAGCCAGCATCTGTTTCAGTTCGCTGCCATTGGCTGAGTGAGAGGGGCTCCTCGGCATGCCCACTTCCACAAATGTGTCTGAGCCTGAAGGGAAACAAAAACATTCGGCCAAAATTAGGGAGAAAAAAAGCAAAACATGAAGAAACAGCTAAAATATTAGAGGACTGTGCATTCACCAAGCCACCCTATGTGTCGCACATATGTGTTAACATCTTAGTCAGATTCAGGATTAATTAAAAACACAGCAGCTGAGACGATGATGACTTCCATATGTTACTCATATGAAATGAACCTGCTCTATGCAACACCATGTGTTTGCATACTTGTAAACCATTTGACTTGCATTATTTCTCTAAGCTCAGACAATCCACAATGCAGGGGTGAGACGGACGGCCCAAGCCCATCCAAACATATCATGGGACACAGGAGGAGGTGAAAGAAAGTGGGGGGAAGTTTAGCAGTACGCACCAGGAAGGCGAGGTTCAAGCGGCTCAGAAAGCGGTTAGGAAAACCGAGCCGCGTGAGAGTGAACCTTTAAGGGCAGAACCTCACAGGAGGAAATGAAGGTCCTTTCTGAACCGCTAGGAGAGCAGCAGTTAATCAGTCTCCAGTGAAAAGAAATGCAGTGAACAAGGTCGGATGGACATTATAGAGGAAAAGGACGTTAGCTTTACACATTTCCCTCAGTGTGGTTTTCAGAGCAACATAAATCTAAAGTGGAAAACTGTGATTTGGACATTTATGTTTGGCTATGGTGGCTGGATTCCAGCAAAGAGGAGTTGAAAATTTTAACTGCTCAAAATTTCAGTCCAACCAAGGTCATGAAAACATATAAATCACCCTACTGCGCTAAACATATATAATGGTGGAATGGGAACAGGGCAAAATGTCATGAATGAGAGGCAAATTAATTAAACACAACAAACAGCATGAAGATGCATTAATGAATTAACTTTCCATAATTTTGGTGTTGTGATCATTTTGCACGCTTTTAGCTCGGGACTGTTGTATTTCTGTTTGAGGAATACCTTCATCTGGGTTGGATTTGCTTGACAGTGGCTCTGAAGGGTTGTGTCCGCTGGCCTCCTGGGCCGAGTCGCATGGCGCTGGACTTAAAACCGTTTCTGTGAGCGATGCTGGCGCTAATCTCCCATAAGGATGCTACACAAGGAGAGAGGACAACACAAAAATATAATAAATTATTTTGTACAAAAGTGTAAATGTTGAATAAATAAGAAACAAGGCCAACCTTGACATGTCCATTAAGAGCGCATTCAGGGACCCCGTTTGGCTGCTTGTCTATAGGGGCTAGGCCCGGCGGAGGAGATGGTGTGCTGTGTGTGTAACTCTGCACTCCTGACATTAGGATGCTGCTTAGAGTGGCCTGAGCTGCAGGGTGCAGCACTAGCTGTGACGTGAAGCCTGTAAGGAAAGATGAGAGAAACCGACTAGTTTGTAAATTTGGATGATCAACAGATTAAAAACTAAACTAAAGCAAAACCTCAAGAAAAAGTATTCAAAGGTAGCTCTTTATACAAACTTTGGGTGCTGGTGAGCGAGCTAGGCCACATAGAGGGGGGCGGAGTGGGGGTGTTTGGGTTGGGTGTCTGCAGCGGGCTCAGAGCTGAGTTTAAACTGTTCAAAACGGTGTTTGGAGTAGGAGATGTGGGGAGGGAATGGGGTGCTGTTGCACCTAAGAAACCTGTGGAGATCAAAGAGAAATAGAGAAAAAAAAAGTGAACAGATCAGTGGTGATCTTGTAAAAGTGCAGAGCCATATTTCCAGCTAATCATACGGTACGGTGAGGCCCTCAGAAAACAAGCTCGGTTTTCAAGCTATTTTACTGGAATTCCATCAAACTGCAACCAGACAGCAAATGAGAGGAAGGATTTCTTACATTTCTCCAAGGTTGTGGAAACAAAAGCATATATTCAGTGTATCCTCGTACCCAATAAACCCATGTTACTGAAAGCACCAACGATATGGAGCCTGGCGTTTTAACCCAAACACAGTGTATGAAAACAGAAAGAAACAGGTCTGTGGCTTTCATAAGGAGCTACTTTGGCTCCAGGAATAAGACCTGGGATTCTTCTGGCAGGCGGGCCTGTAATCTGAGGAAGAGAAGCATGTAGCAATTACTAAAGGCCAGGATGTGGCCATCCACAGCATAACCCCCGGGCCCCTGGGTTCAAATGAAACAGCAAAAAAAATGACCAATGCAGTAGGTTTCCCTTCACCAATTTACACATTTAAGCGAGCAAAGGAACCTTTTAACTAGCCACACACTTTATATCTTAATAATGATCAGTGAAAGTGCTGAATATGAGAAACTCTGACAAATAAATGGCAACAAAAATCTATATTGCTGACAGAACCTGCTTCCAATGAGACAAATACAAACATCTCACCTCTTTAGAACACAATATAAAACTACTGAATAGATTTTAAATAGTTTTTTATTGATGGAAAATCATTTAAAAATCATTTTTATTTTCAATAACCAGATGAAACCTTATTGAAAGATTAGATTTTCAGGTTCATCCAAACCTTTTCTGATTAGTGACCAGGTTACCACAACAACAGCTTTCTTTGATAATTGATTGATTGATTGATAGATTGATTGACATATTGATCTCACAGTGGAGAAATGTACTCTTTACATCAGCTCAAATAATCAAAGAAGAAGAATGTACCAAAGAAAGAAAAAGGTGCATGGAATATATACAGTATATACAGTGCGTCCACATATGACAGCTTTTTTCTTTTTAATAGTAGGATTATTATACCGGGTTATTGCACAGGGTGTTTACCCGGGTATTTATATGGATGGATATTTATATATATATTTATAGCACTGGATATCAAATATAGAGAAACAGTTATTGCACAGGGTTTCAAATGGTAAATTGCACATTATCCATTGCACAAGTTATTGCAGTTGTAGTGTCGCATTGTAGAGTCTGATTGCAGCACAAATGAAGACCTGCCTTCATTCATTGATGTGGGAACTGGTGTGGAGGAGCGTTGTTTTGAGGTGATTAAATAATTAATTATTGGTAAGAACAAAAACTATGTTCTGTGTTGGACATTTAGCAAAGCTGTTTCCTTAAAAGGGAACGCTCAACATATTAGAGCCTTGTTGCTCTTTCTGACCCTTTATCTTCAGGAGATGTATATTGACAAAAAATTATGTATGGTGAAAATAATAATAAAGTTTGAAGAAAACCTCATCAAAGATCAACGTTCTTCCAAGAAATAAATGTTCGTTTGGAGAATGAAAAACATGAATCAGGAAGAAAGTCACACAAAAGACATCCTGCACTGCAAATCCTTGAATCCTGAGCATCCTGCTTTAATAAAATCTAATTGTAGAGATAATGTGAATGTCTGGATCAAATTTTTAAAAGCGAAATTCCTAAATAATTTATTGGACATCTAAGATTACAGTCTGATGTTTTTGATTTTTTGTAAAGGGATACTAGAGAGATTTTTTTTTCTTACAATCCAACTGAGCCTAAAGCTATTGCATTATTTCCCTAATTTTCTTATGAATAAATACATTTCAAGAGCTTAATTAAAACCTTTGCTTGCTGCAGATGGAACTTTAAAAATCAAGTTTCTCACATTGTCATGGTCTTGTTTCTGTTGTGCTTTACTTTGCTCTATGTTTCCTAGTTTTATTGGTTTAATTCCTGTTTTGTTGTAATTTCTAGATTTATGTTAGTTCTCATGTTTTTCTGTTGTCCTCTGTTGCCCTCTTGTGTGTGTGTTCCTTTCCCCTTGGCTCCCTCGTTGTCTCCTCTCACACCTGCTCCTCATCTGCTCGTTAGCCCTGCCTTTGTCTCAGTCAGCTATATATTCTCTCCCTCTGCTGCAACTCCTTGTTGGTTCTTTGTCTTTGCTGTCTTCCCGTGTTGTTGTCTACCTACCTCGTCTCTCCCTGGCTCCTCATGTTTGGTTTCCCCACATGTCTTCATATTTCTGGTTTGCTTAACGTTATTAGTTGGATTTTTGGATTCCTGCCTTTGTTACTGTTTTTTCACCATTAAAACTGCAAGACATCTCCTCAGCCCCTCTGCATCTGGGTCCTTAAACCTCAACCAAACCCTTACACACATGAATAACAAAAAACAAATTTATTTTATGAGATACAAAAATTAAAACCTTTTTTGAAGAAAAAATTAACATACTTAAATGAAACGTGCTTTATTGGTAAAAAAAAAAAAGGGAAAATATAGAACGACTATTAAAAAAAGGGAATAGAAAACAAGTTAAACTATAGATCCAAAACCAGCTACAAAATTCTGATCTGTGTATCTTTAATATATCACATAAATAACACCAATAAGACCACATCTTCAAAATCTTACACCACAAATGGACCAGGATATTACAGTCTCAGTTACTTAAAGATTAACTCCTTTTCTAAGAGCCAAAGGCATTGAATTAGCTGCATTGTGATCAAAACCCAAAGCATGTTTTACATCAGTACCCACTGCTTGCAAACACATGCAAAATGCTTTGCAAAATGGTAAACACTTGCTGCACACGGATCACAATGGTGGGTATCAGTGGCTAAACACAATGACTCAAAATCTATTGCACTTTTGTCTGATGAATGAGGAAACCAATATAAGCCAGTTAAAGAAGCTGTGGAAGGTCAAGGTTTAGCAAGGAAATAGCGGAAAGCAGAGCAGAAAACAAAGAGAACATGTAAAAAAGGTGGTCTTTGAGGGGGGTCGTGGATGTAAATTTGAATAATTTAATAAATGGCGTCAGCATTTAATAGATGACATCAGCATCTCCGCTAACCGTGTCCTCAAACGTAATATAGGCTGTGCATTAAAGAAGTGTACAGAGTGCCTTTTGAGTGAAACTCAAAAAGTGTTAAAGAATAAAGATTTCCCCGTGAACTGGTTTTTCATTTTATCTTTTAAATTTGCATTCTTTTGTGTGTGTAAAGATTTTTTTCCAGTTGGATTCAATGAACCAACTCCACAAATACATTTTTGGATGAAATGAGTTTCTTTTTGGCCAAAAGGAGAAGGAGAGGCAGAAATTAGATGAGTCAATGTGTCATTGTCGCTGCTCCCGGTCAGCGCTGTGGTAACATCCCACTCTCTGCAGCCATAATCATGCTAAAGCTGGACCATGTGGCAGGACCTGGAAAACACTGTGTATTATGTTTTGTAAGTTTCTGCCGCGCAGCCTAGGTGAGGGAATCGTTCCTTTTAAATGAGAATTTTATCAATGTTTGCCCTCCACATAATCCCCTCTTTTGAACCTGCTAAAAGGAGTTTTCCTCTTCTTGGTGGTAGAAGGTTTATAATAGGCAAGCTTACAACAGAGAAAACCTCCTGGAGGCGATGGAAATGGCTAGTGAGGGGATAGGTGTGAAGACATGCCAAGCCTAGATCCGACATGCTAGGGGCTTTTTCTCTCCCCATTTGGCCAAGGAGGATGTGGCCTGTGATGTGGATGCGGTTCTGTGGCCTGACCAAGCGAGAAGACACAACGATGTGGCCAAATGACATATTGCAAATACTGTTTGCTCAGGATGAACTTCTTTCTTTGATTTTATTTCTTTTTATACAGCAGTTTTACTTTTACCTTATGTCTCTATAGCCCTTTGGGACTCTTCTAAGTCTTTTGCCTTACTTTTGAGTATTAGTTTTCTCAATTTTTTATTTTGAGCTTTAAGTATTAGCTTTTTTTCACGTTTTAATGTTATATTATCTATAGAACTATTCTAGTTAAACTGAATCCTTGTTTTTCCTTCTTTGGTTTTTATTTTCTACTTGAAGAATTTTGTGTTTTGATTTTGCCTTACGCCTGTTATTAGTTATTGTCCATTATTTTTGCCATATTAATTTGATGTGTTTACCTTTTTCAGTTATCTTCTAGTCTATTTCTTTTGCATATTTCTTGGTGTTTTCCTCTGGTTATGTCTTTACTTTCATGAGTGATTATTTCAATATTATTGGAGAGGTTCTCTTGTGTGTTTTACATTATGTTTCCCCATAATAAGTTTTTCCTGAGGCAGAGCCTCCAACTAATTAGTAGATTTCATTCACCTTAGTGGTTTTTCATTTAGTTTCTTGGCAATTGAGAAATATAGATATAATCTAAGTTGAAAAGTTCTTAAAGTGAACAGAGCTGTTTATCGCCTCAAACATATGCTGATGCTAATTCTGCTTGAGCAAGAAAACCTGTGCTCCTGCTATTTTGTGATTGTTTGTGGGTCAAATATGAATGGATGGCAAGAAATTTAGAGGAACAGCACCATAAAATATCATGTGGATTCTGATGGTATCTGTGTGTGCGTAAAAGCCACCTGTAGAGAAGAATTCTGCAGAAAGCATCAAGATCACAGTTTGAAGACATCTGTAAAGCCATAGGTCATTTAGCTGAATGCAGACAGGAAGTAGAACTGATTTATGAGGAGACTTATCATACGGTCAGGAAATTTCTACACTGTGTAACTCATAAAAGAAAGACATCGTATTTCTTTAAAAAGATTTATATTTTCTGCATCATGGAAAAAAAACATCTGGAATGCCACCAGAAGAAAATAAAAAAGAAAAAAGAATTTGGAGAGGATTGTTACCCAGATTACTCAGCCCCAGGCCAGCTGAGGTCAGGATGTCCAGGCCGACAGGGCAAATGAGGGATGGCGATGGACCATTATTGGGGGGATTCAGTGCCAGGGAGGGTGAAGAGGAGGACACCCCATTGCTTTCAAGACCCAAGAGGAATTTCCGAGCTTCGTACATGTTGACAGCATTTCTTTCCACACTCTTCACGATGACCGACTAGGAGAGAAAGCAGAAGATCAAAAATAGTCTGGAAAAATAAAAAAAATAGTAAAAAAGAAGGAAAGGAGCAAAGGATGAGGGGAAGTGAGGGCATGAGAAAGAAGAAAAAAGAAAGATCATTTGGAGGAGTGAGGGAAAGATAGGACAGGGAATGTTGGCAGAAAAGATAGGGAGTCTGAGGGAGACTAAGGGGGGAGACAACAAGAAATAGGAGGAAGGAAGAGGGAATTAAGAGCAGATTAGAAGGATAAACATTAAGGGAGTGTGGGAGAGACATGGGAGCAATGTTCGAGAGAAGGCATTTTTACATCAGCTGCTAAAAATCTATCGCCTATCTATTTTTCTGATATGAGAAAATTTGGAAATAACTGAAGTTCTCAATGTCAGATAAAATGAAAACATTTTATCTCCAAAAATTGCTGCATTACTGGAAACCCCGCCCAATTTTAAATATTAAAATAACCTAGACACAGTGTTCGCTGACTTTGACTGTTTTGAGCGCTTGAAAAATGATTCCCAAACACAATCCCCCTCTGTCTATTTAATAAACCTGCCCAGGCACCAGGAGCCCTGAAAGTGCAGCCCACACTTAAGCAGACCTTTAAGGGGACTGCAATCACCTCGTTAAAATACTTAAGTGAAGGGTTCCTGTGTGGGTATGCCCTGGGTCACTGTTTACCCTGGCACCTCTGCAACAGTCCCTGCAGATCTGTCTGCTCTGGGCAAGGAGCCCTACCTCAGGGCACCGCAAAGAGCCTCGTCAGTACTTTAGCTAGGTGCTGAAATATCATTAGAAATATTAAACGTTGTTGAGAGGCGGAAGGTGAGTAAGACTAAAGGCATTTTTTAAATCTAAAGCAGGTGGTGATTGTTTTAACAGACAATAAATCACAGTGTGGAATAAAGTTATTGCAAAAGAGCCCAGCATGCTGTTATAATGTATAAAAAATTGTCAATTTAGACAAAAAAAAAAGGTCAAAATAAGCTGGTCTACTCTTATGCAGAAGAACTGAGAAAGAACATGAACAAACTTCTCATCAATCAGGTGGAACATGCTTGGCAGCCTGTTTGCAAAGGAGACAGCTGGCTCCAATTCCCTGCAGTGGCAGATGTCTGTTTGCCAGAGCTCTTCCCACTATTGCTACTTGGTTCCAGTTTTTGCTCTTTTCAGCTCTATTAAACAATAATAAAATGCAGCAAGGCAATTTTATTTATTTATTTTGATGCCACATTGTGACAGCTGGTGGAAAGTAGTATGAAAATGCCACAGTGGCTTTTTGTTTCTCTGCCTCTGCTCAACATTGCATGAGATCAAATGTGACATAAGCTGCCTTTTTCCCATAGGGAAAACTAATATAAACTAATAGAGGCTGCCCTCTCGTTATTAAAGTTTCCTTGTATGTGACTTACGTAGATGTAAATGATCAAACTTATGTAATCTAATAATTATAATTATTATTCTCTAAAAATAAAAATAAACCAGTTTTTAATGAATGGTTTACGAAAAAGTGCCTTTTAATTATTAAGATACATAATATATCCTAAAGGAGAGTAATAATATAGAGAGTAACAATATAAGGCGAAATATAAAAAAATATATTATGTTTCAGAGTTTGTTGAGAACTAAAATGCAGAGGTAAGCACAATTATGAAACATCAAAGTGCTTCAAAATAAATTAATAAATAAAAAAGGCACGCCAGGGTGCTAAATTTCTTTGATCAGATGGGCACATCCATAAAACTTAAGCAGACCATGAAATCCTGGTAAAATCATAATGAACTAATACACAAAATTAACATTTACCTCTGCTTTACATTGGATTTTCATCCATACAATGTGTGCTGGTTGGATATTTTCTCTTTTTTTTTTTGGAGAGCTTTAATAAATCCAATAAATATTTGCATATGAATAGCCCACTAGACCTGAAATACTTCAACAACCATTTCATGGTCAAAGTTATTTGTCTTCTTTTTTTGCCCAATATAATGCTTGGTTTGAACTTCAGGATTCATCCTCACCGACTTGAACTGTCTAAATGCATAAAGTTGTGGTCAGGTTATCCACAGTTTGGTTTGTCAATAAGAAATCAAACAAGTGTGTTAATACAGTAATACATTTAGAATATAGGTAATCAGACACAATTATTTTTTTTAGCACAATGGAAAGTGCAGCTCTGAGGAGTCCCACAATGTAATCAAAAAGCTAGCAAGATTATAGAGCCAAATAGCTAAAGATAATCTTTTTGGAGGGATAATGTGTTGTGCCATACCTTGCTGGGCTGCTTTGGCTTCGGTTTTATGCTGATGAAGACATCCAGTTGCTCTATTAGTGCTGTAATGCACTGAGGTTCCACCTCAATGTCCTCTTTGATGTCAAACATTAACACTAAAGGCAAGCAGCCCTGTGAAAGAAAACAAGAAAACAAGACATAACCAACTGCAATAGATTCTGCTACACTGTGAGCATCACTGCTTAACACTATACTTGTTGTCTATAACCTTTTTGGGTACATAAATTATACACGTTCTCAAAACTGCAGTAAACGTTCCTTTATAATCTACCATTTATAGGCCGATATACCCATGTCGTTAAATATGAGTTTCATGGCTGGATTCGATGCTTCATAGCCTGCGGGAAATTCCGACAACGTAAATCTCTTCTGCACGATCACTACCACAAGCACCACAGAGATCTGTATTTTGGGCTCACAACTGGACAGCTCTCTAACTGAGTGTGGGTGTAATTAGCAGCAGTCTATAGAGGCAGGTTGGCTCTGACAGGGCCCTCAAACTTGAACTGTAATCTACTGTCTGGCCGAGAGGCAGTAATCTATATAGGCCAAAATCACAAAGCCATTAGACTGTGGGTAGCAGTCCTTTCCTTTTCTGCTGTGTTTACTTTCCCTTTTTATCCTCTATGTGCCATTAGTCCTCTATATTGATCTTCTCTATGCTCATACTTTCTTATATGACCCATCCACTGTTAAGGAACTGAAAGAAAAGATGTGTCGTCTTGTGTGTTCTTAGAAACAACGCCGCCACTGTCTAAGCATCTATGGGACCAACAGGGAGACCACATAGAAAGACATGCACTTTTTCCGAATGGTTACATCAAATTACGGATTCCTAAGCAACAACGAGAAGCTTACAAAAGGTTTACAACAGAGAAGTCCTGACTGGTTTAGCAGAAGCTCAAGCCACTAGTGATTAAACAGCCATTACATTTACACTTTTGTGAAACAGACTTCTTATTATGCTCTAAAGTTATTATTGGGAAGAGTAGTGGTTGTGGGCAACAAGACATAAATGGCCACTGAGCATTTTTAACAACATGAAAAAAATCACGAGGTACTACTTTTGATCCAATACAAGAATGGTAACAGAGCATTTCTGAAGGGGAAATATGCGGATGAATTCCAACCGCAAGCAGGCCAAACCTTTATCATTAACTCCAATTAGAAAAATATGTATATGAACACAACAGGAAGCCCAGAAGCCAAAATCAGCTAGACAGGGTCCATTCTGCATGCAGGTATGTGGCTAAAACAAACAACACTATCTAACTGTCAAAAATCGTTTTCCATTTTGGAATATTTCAGCAGAGAAAGGAGAGGCAAGCAAACCTCTCTCAAGGTTATTCGGGATCCCTGAGGCAATCATGGTTCAACCCCCACCCCAGCCGCCCAAACTCTTCACTCCATTTAAAAACCACGCATCACTCAGCTCACCCTGATAATGTAAATGAGACAGAGGCATCTATTATAGCTACCACAAAGTCGAAGGAATCTGTGTATGTAAGGAATATGCTACCACTAGCATCTCTAAACCACAAAACAAAGTTTAGTTTGAACTAATCAATTTCAACAATTGGATTGGATGTCAGCAGAAAAAAAAAAATACAAAGAAAGAACTTACCATAAGATACTGCCGTGCTAGGCAAACAGATTCGATGGTGCCCTGAATGTAGACTGTGGATTTTTTCTGGGGGCCATTGGGGTCGGGGAAGTGGATCTGGGCTCCCGTTCTCTGGGTTATGTGTTTGATGTTGCTGCCGTTGCGTCCCTTCATGAAAAGGTGGTGTTGGGGTGCAATGTCCAAGTGGGTGGTGATGGAGATGGTGCTCGCTAGACTTCCAGCCAGGTGTTCCAGCAACAGAGCAGTACCTCTCTGGGGAAATAGGGATGGAAATGTCAGCAACACAAGGAACCTTAATTATTTCTGATAATATGGAAGGTCCCATAGAAACATTTCAACTCCTCATGTTTGTTGTAGGTATGATGTGCTTTCAGTCTATACTTTATAGGGTGTTATAATGGGTTTAATATCAGTATTTCAATTCAAAAGTGACTGCTATTACATTTTTCAAGCTTTTATTTCTCTTAATGTTAATAAATTGGGCTTAAAGGTAATGGGAAATTTAAACTAAACTTCTAAAAATCCCAATGACATAATTTTAATAATATCCGATTGTTAATAGGTAGTAATCAAATAATACCTCATCAGTATATTGATAGTCTTGTAAAAAAAAATTTTTTTGCTCTAGCAGTTAAGCCAAAAAACACAACACCACTTAGTAACTCCTAGAAAAAGAATAAAAAAAATCAAACACTTACAGTTAAGTCGACTTATTCTTTGGTGGCTCTACTATCTGTCTCCCTGCAAGCCATTTTCAATGCTTAACAGGAATCTACACACTGTAGCCAGCAAATGAATACAACCCAAAGTGATTTTGGCTACCCCTGAAAAGTTCTCCGAGGGTCTTGCACTACCACACAACATAGCTTACATATTCTTGCAATACTTTCTAACCTCCATCTGGCATGCGCCCCAAACCCTAAAACCCAACCCATCAGACCTACCCTGAAGTCAGGGATTATCCTTGAATACACTTCCATTTTTTGCACTGCGAACAATATAATGCTTGTAGGTCTGTTGTGCAGAAAATAAAAAAATGAGCCAGAGGATAGAAATAAATGAACAAAGGATAGACATTTAGGAAAGGCTGAGATATTGCTGTAAACCTAGCAAAAAATGTTGCTGGGTATAGCTGACCACGTTTCCAGCCTTGTGATATTCTTTCCATAATATCATAAGACTGCTGGTTGGATGTAAGACAGAGGTACTTTGTAGAAGCCTGCAGATAGAATGAGCAGGAAGGAAGAATGAAAGTGGGAGGATTAGAGGAGCATGCCAAGCAGAAGAGAGCGGCAGTGGCGGAGTGGTGAGGGAAGGTGACTGTGGTCAGTGTCCCTGCTGGAGGAAGGACTACGAAACAGTGCTTCTAGAGGTAAATTTAAATGGCTTTTTTAAAAGCCACCTAGCTGGTGAAGATTCTTAGTCATCCAGGTCATAGTCATTCCAAAAAGTTAAAAAACAATCCATTGGACTTTGTTTGATTACATTGGAAACAAAGTCCAGTGAGTTGGGTTTTTTTTTAAACTTTTTTTTGGAATAAAAGCCACCTACAAACCTCTTAATAGCATTTGCGCATCAACCTTTGTCCTTTGTCGACATTATTTTCTCTTTCTTTTTGATAAAAAAAACTCTTTTCTGCCTCTTTCACTACAACAGTTCATGATCATTTCTCGTCTCCTGTAATATTGATACCTAAAAATACAGTGTCAATGAACATGACACAGTCGTTAAAGAACTTATGGATTTGATGCTGTGATCAGTGATCAGCTCCAAAAATCCGGACAGGTATATGTCTAGTAAAAAGTATGTAAGAGTAAGAGTGGAAGGACATGGTATTTATAAATGGTTACAACAGAAGGCCAGTCTACTGCAGGGCATTGCAAAGACAGGGAGAAATACAACCATGCACACACACCTAAGAACAATTTAGAGATGCTAATTAACCTAACAGTCATGTTTTTGGACTTGATGGAAGCCAGAGTACCTGGAGAGAACCCAAGTATGCATGAGGTGAACATGCAAACCCCATGCAGAAAGACCCTGGCCCAGGAGTCAAACACAGGACCTTCTTGCTGCAAATGAACAGTGATATAAAGTGCCCCCATGCCATTATCATCATGCTACCATACCATCTGGGTTTAATGTAGTTTTCTGTGTATCCTTTTCTAAAGCATATATTTTAAATGTTATATTGATTTTTTTTTATAAACATGTCACAAAAAATGTTATAGGTAAGCACAGTTTTGTTGTGGGCATTCTTGCATTCTTTTGTTTTGTTTATATCTATATCGAAATTCTTTTGCATCGACCAAAATAAAGAAATATATTATGATATACGATGGGCCATTAGGTTTTTAGAGACCTTGGGCCTCATGCAAGAAGTGTTCGTACAAACGGATTCGTTCTTAATTTGTTCGTACAATGATTCAGGAAAAAATGCAGTTTTTACCATTTTTCTCGTATTTTTAATCTTCTCTCAGGTAAGAACAAATTGTATGAGTGCTACAGACTTGTCGTTTGCAGTCTTGCACAATCAATCAGCTGTTATCCAAACCTCGTTTTTCACTAAATGACTAGATTTCTTGTTAGTTAGAAGTACTTACCCATTTTAAAAGGCTACATCAATATATATTATGCAACTGCAGTTTTAATTACATTTCAATTTGCCGATGAGAGAACTATTGGTCACTACACTGGCAGCTGGCATATTAGTATCTATGGTACATTGGTTTAGTTGTTGTCATTTCGGCTGAAGAACGGTCAGTCAGTAACCTCTGTGTGAGAGTAGCCTACTATTGAAATAACATCTGGAACAGAAAATGGAAGTTCAGAAAGCGGTTGTTAGAAACATTTTTAACAGTGAGACATGCATACAGTTCACTTCCTAACGTGGCGCCTTGGCTTTGTTATTACAGAACATGTGGAATGTTTGGGTTTGGGTCTGTCTGAATTGGTCCAATTAGAGTTTGACCATTTTTATTATGCTTTGTACTAGATGAAGAGTGAGATGAAGGGATGACAGATGTGGTCTGGAGATGTACAATAAATGTTTGTATATTTATGAAAAGGAGATTTTGCTGCATGTTGTGCTTGATGGTTTATGGCAAACTCATATTAAGCATTTACAGTTAATGTTGCACTTCTTCCCCTCACCATTAGTTCCATTGACTTTTGTGGATCAATTGATTTTTCTCTTTACTAATATTTTTCTTTTTTCTTTTTCTTTTTACCTATTTAACAGTGCAACCAACAGGCAACACCTAATTTACAGCTCTTGTAATTTATTCCCTATGCTTGGACTTTACTGGTCCTTAATATTTACCAACAAAGTTTTTCATATACGTCTCGATTCCTTTTTTTTTACCTTCTTGTTGTTGTTGCATGAGGCCCAATACTGAAAATTTGAAAGTGGCAAGGAGCACATTAACCAAGGAGGAGACCTATGATAACTCTGGAGGAGCTGCAAATATCAACATATCAATATCATCTGTTAGTTGCGTATTCCACAGTAAACACCACCCTGATTGCGATTGGTAATGACAAGTTGGTGGCATTAAATATGCCTCGGGATGCATTTCTACAGCTGGAACGCTACTGAATAAAGATATGCAGTGATTGATGTGAGCATTCTCTTAAGAAACTCAACTTCTGATATTCTGTTTTGTGTATTTGTCATTTTTGTTTTACAGCACTAGCGCCCTTTATTTAAAATTAGGCTTACAGGAAATTGCGTTTAGAGGAGACTTAAGCCTTTGTAAATGGATTGTGTGCATTTCCATAGCACTGCGACAGGGTCCCAGGTCCTGATAGTCTTTGAGGGTTTGTTTTGATAAGAAAGACAAACTTCTTTTTACATTATGTTACTATGCACCATATTTCTGAAGGGGGAGATGGATTTTATATGCAAAATTTATATGCAACACAGTAAACTGTGACTGTGACCATACTGCAATATGTTCTGGCCTAAGCTGTTAATATATTTTGATAAATAAAAAATGAATTTCATGCTAATGTTAGCTTTTCACTAGAGCAACAATTGAAGGCAGCAACATGGTTTAAGTCTTAAATCTTTAGAGAATAATTTAGTTGATGTGCTCTACGAGCATTTTAGCAGCCATTATTGAAAAGTTTCAAATGTTGAAAATGCTTTTTGCATGGCAATAAGACATTTTTTGATATATTTGTAAAAAAAATGAGGTTCCAGTTCTGGTTCAGGTTATTAAAACAACAACAACAACAACAACAACAAAAATCATAAAAACCCTCCACCATACAAACCCAAAAGCAAAACTGCAGGACTTTGCTCACCTTTACAGCACTGACGTTATTCTGTGAACCACGGACAACTCCGGTGGCCCTGTAGAGACGTGTTGGGGGCTTGAAGGAAACTGTGAGGTTGTATGTCTGTGAGATGTGTTGCACAGTGGGAGAGCTTGGGTCAGACTGCATGATGGCGGGGAGTTCGAAAGACAGCACGAGAGGTAGCAGCTCCTGTAAGATGATGGAATAAGTGGAATAATAAAAAAACAATGACGGCGACAGCCTTTGCATGCTCAAAGCCTGGCACATTCTGACCTTATAACAGCTGACAGAAAACATGACATAATCATAAGCAGATTTTGTAAACAAAAACTAACACAGGTGCAGAATAACAGTGTGCACCCTAACATGTTGTCAAACAGACTTAAAAAGAAAAAAATTGGAGGTAAAGTAAAAACAGCAGGGAAAATGGTGGTTTCTTTTCATTTTTACGGCAACTGACACAGGGCCTCCTTTTAGCCGTAGGTGACAAAACTTTGCATGTAACTCTGTCAGTTCAATCCAGACAAGGTAATGAAATAAGACTGAAAAGTTCTCATGCAGGGAACTGTGGTGGTACTGCCAGTTTCATCACTAACACGCAAGCAGACCACTGCCACAGCAGGCCATGAAAAACATTAGAGCTCCTGAGCCCATTAAATATTATGTCTACAAAGATGTTCAAAATTACATTTACGATAACACAAAAAACAGCAGTCATTAGCCTATTCCTTCTCACAGATTAAGGAATAAAACCCAAGGAACAGAAAAAGAGATCGGATCCTGCTCTCTGTATTAAACATATCTCTCAAATACAATAGACATTGACAGGACGGCTTCACTCATGCATACACATGCATATGCATGCATGTGGGAGAAAATACACTGGCTTATATTCATACAGATTCAAACTGAAAGAGATATAGAAATACACAAAAACTGATGAACACTCGCACACAGTTATCTAAACACTAACTTTTGGGCAGAGCGCCACCATGGTTTTGGCTGTCAGTGTAGGGCAAGCAACATGAATTGCTCTGACCAAAGAAATGTATCCCTGATCACTCCCATATGCTCTTGGCCTTACATTTATATCACGTTTCAGCAATCCCTCTCTCAGGGCTCCAGAAATGTAGGTCAGGATGGAAGGATAAGCAAGAAAAGACAAGCAGTGAGCAGCAGGAGTCAGGCGCTGAATGAAGAATAGACCAATTTTTATGGCAGAGCTGACTTAAGCTCTTTTTCCTCCAAAAAAAGTCTACAAAGCAAATAGTTTCACATGGGTTCAATCAAAGCCACCACTTTAAAGGCCTTATTTTTACTGACACGAAAGGGAAAAGATGAAGAAAAATGAAAATGTCCTGAGGTAAAGCAACTGGGCAAAGCTTTCATCACCTGAATGTCCATTCCACCACCAAATGAACAAGTGGCATGTTACAAACTGACGCAGAGCTCACCCTAAGATTGGTTTAGGAAAACAGGACGCTTTAAATTCCCTGGCATTATATCTACATGTTCAATAAACACCAGGAAAGGTGAAGCAGATTTATTTATAAAGCACATTTCAGTAGCACAACAATTCAAAGTACTGCACAATAGAAAATATCTATATATATATTGTAGTATCATACAGAAAACACAAAGAGAATAAAAATAAATTTTTTCCATGGTTATAATTAAAGATAAAAGTGATTGATAGGGGCAGAGCAGTGGTGCAGAAGTTAAGCACACAACCCATGTACAGAGTTTTTTGTCACAGGTTCAAGTCCCGGCCTTGAGACCTTTGCTGCATGCTTTTCCCCTTTCTCTACTCCCATTTCCTGTCTACCTACTTTGAAAAATAGCAAAAATAAAGGCCAGTCAAGCCTAAAATATTCTTAAAAGAAAAAAAAAGGACTGATAAAACATGAAACAGAAGTTGGACAGAAAACTTTAGATAGCAGAGTCAAATCCTCTAGGTTTAAAGCAATTTGGGGTTTCAGTGCTTTTAAAGTTTTGTGGGAGTTTATTCCACATCAGTGGAGCATGAGAACTAAAAAATTAATAATTTTAGGCAGACCTGTGAAGAAACAGTTGCAGTAATAAATTTTGCTAAAGATAAACGTATATTAGTTTTCAAAGATCCTGCTGGGACCTTAGTCCTTTAATTCTAGTGTTCAGTGTTCAATAGATGATAGAAGGCTGACTTTGTTGATGTCTTTATGTGCCTTTGAAGGTTCTGGTCCATTACCATCACTTTTTGGTCAAGAAAAAATTCTTAATTCAGTTGTACTTTGATTTAGCTGAATAAAATTCTGACACATCTATGTACAGATTTCTTCTATCAATTTGCCCAATGATTAAAAGGGTTCATAGTACAGCTCAGTGTCATCTGTATAGTTATGGTCACTTCTGTTGCTGTATATTAAAATGTAAGTTGGGTGGGGGGCATGTAGATAATGAACAGGAGGGGTCTAAGATGGGGATCTCTGATGTAAAGTTATCTGCTGACAGTTTTCCCTATATTTTAATAAAATGGAGCGAACACTACAGTAGTGTCCAGCAATACCTGGAATGTGGTTCTTCCATAGTTTGCATTTATATGGATGTCGGTAAACACCTTGACAAAAATAGTTTCTTTACCGGGGTCAGAATGGAAGCCTGACTGGCAGATGTGGAAGTATTGCCAGAAGGATGTTTCTCACCTTTGAAACAGCTTTTCTGTTATCTTATTGATGAAGGGGAGGTCTGAAGGATTGATTTTCCAGACAAAAATCCAATATTCAATAAACCATGCTATATATGGATTATTGGCAGATATTTTCTCTGTTTGGTTATACTTGACAGTTTATGGCTTTCAATCTTTTTCTTTCCTATCTTTTATCCTTTTGAAAGAGAAAAAACTTGCAAATTAAAATTCTGTTTTACTAAGTCAAGTTCAGCAGTCTATACGTTTTGTATATACCTTTTGAAATGTTGAAATAAGAACACAGGCGCTTCTCCATTATTTGCAGCACAAAAAGGGTTTTTCACCACCATTTACTTGCCACGTTTTCTCTAACGAAAACCTGGTGTATCCTCATTTCGTTTACATGTATGTTATAAATGTATTTATATTTGTTTCTTTTCTAAATGCAGCAGATTTGCAGAAGCTTGCGGAATGACCTCCTGCAGCACATACTTCGCTCAGCTGCTTTCACAAGCAAACTCAGTGCTGTTGATTCTGCTCAATTCACAGAGGAGGATTGTGTTTGTTGTAGACACGTGTGTAGTGATGAAATGCAGCTAGACTTAAGAGAGGTAATAGAAACCCCTGAAAACCAGCAGAGGTAGTCCTCGGTTCACTAAGCTGGCTTCTATTCAGACCCAAACTGGAGATGAAGGGAAGGTGAAGAAAAGGGAAGGTGATGGAGTTGCCAGAAAAGATTAGGCTCATGCTTTTATTGTACAACTAATCAGTTAAAACGGTTGGAACATGAGCTCTCTTCTTCTTTAGTATTTTGGGGGGAAAAATTACATTTTAGGCCTATTTCTTTTTTATTATTATGTTATAGGCTTTTGGAGCCAATGATCCAATCCTTACATCTTTTTGTTTTTTATCTTTCATTGAAAAAATGTTTTATTTTACAAACATGGTAAAATTCTCGAATTTCACTTGTTTTGCTGAGTGGTGCGAATTAATAATTTTTCATCATCTACTTCTTAAAAAATATCTTCTTAAGATATAAATTTCTTATCAATTAGTAAATTACTGGAATCCAATGTTTACGCTTTTGTCCACTTTTGGTTATATTTCTAAGAGTGGATCATTTGCACTGCAATTTCCATTTTAACAGGAATTAAATTTTTAATAATAGTGTAAAACAAGAGTTTCAACTTTAATCAATTCAGTTAGCAAAACATTGTTTAAAAAAACAGTCTTGTGTTTTTTCGAAATATAATTGTCATACATTTTATTTATACTGTAGTCCAAGGACTACATTCACAACTAAATAATATTTTCATACCTTCCATTAAAAAATTAAGCAGAATCATCAGTATAGATTACTCTACACAGAAGCTTTGTGCAAACTCAAGTGAAAATTTATTTCAGTGATTCATTTAATCCAAAAATAATAAAACCTTTAGCAATTGCTTTGTTCTCCATCATCCAGACAGTTTCTGCATAGTCGTAATGAGATGATTGTTCTTGTTAAGCTGGAAGACAACTTATGCTAAAGAAAAAAACTACAGTTAACTCTTTCAACACTCCCAGTGTTGGCACTCTGGTTTACAGTTCTGATTCCTACTTATGATCCATAATTTTGTATGAAAAAGAAGGATTAAAGTGATGCCAGTATGAAATAAAAAATAATTTGCAGTAAATACAATCAATTAATCTAATTGTATGTCCAGTATAAACTAAGTAAAAATAACTATTTGAGCAAAGAAAAGCATGACAATAGTTGCTTTTTTACTCAATAAGATTCAATTGAGTTTTATAAGGATTAAAAAAGTGCAACTTTTTTTAAGTCTGCCAGGAATGAGAAATCCCTGCTTAAAATTCAGGGTGGAGTACGGTATTCCCTTTAGGCAAACTGGCTAAGCTCCAACTTACCCTTATTTTTACACGAGCTGCCTCCACGCCTGCTGGCTGTCCTGCAATGGAAACCTGTTAACAATAAAAATATTGAAATGAGATAGGCAGTTATGGCAGCAATCAAAACTGAATCAAGTCCGAGATATATATAAGATAAAACCATATTTATATATAAGCAGCCACAACTTGGATAACTGACTTTTAAATGGAGGGCTTAACACTCAAGGTCTGTTTAGAACAAGGCAAATAACTCCCTTCAGCTCTCAATGGAACAAAAACAGCACTTCTAAACTAGAATAAATAAAACTAAATAATGATTAGTGACCATAATCAGTTAATTTCTAGCTTGATCTGCCTAAACTGAAAACTGAAAATACTGTTTATCTAATTAGTGAGTGAATCATACATAAATGCTTCAAAGATCTTTTATGTGAGGTTCATTCTGTCACATGAGAACAAGAGAGA